AGAGATAGAGGCTAGTCCACACCCTACCCACACCTCACCAATACACCTGTCACCACAGCTATTCTCAGCTCCTGGCACCACTGTGTTCCTTTCTTCTGGACAGACTGGTTATAAGCTCCTTGAGGTCAAGAACAGAAACCCTTATTCCTACTGCCTTTCCCCCAGATGCTCTGTGGGACCCAAACAATGCTGTTTCCCCTGGTCCTAGCAGGGCAGGCCTGCCATCAACCCCCATCAGGAACTCCCTGTTGGAAATTCTCAGGGCCTGGTGGAGCTTCCTCACTCTCTGGCCTCCCCCACCTGTTTCCACACTACAGTGACTCGATTTTCCAAACTGGGGTCTCTTTCCCCACCCAGACCTAAGGGTTTTCTAGAAGCTCCTTAGGATCCCACATGGTAGTCTGGCTCTGGCAAATGCCTTGAAACCCCCTCCTCGAGCCCCCTTCCCCACATACATCCCCTGCACCTGCTGGACCAGGGCCTTGGGATAGGCCTGTGGGCCACTGCTCTGACTCTCCTGGTGGAACTGGGCCTCCTGCTCCTTGCCCACGTATGTCACTGCAATCCAGTCGTCTACTGGCACCTCCTTCTCAGCATCCACGATGTCCATCTGTGGGGCAAGAGGCCAAAGGCAGAAGGAGGAAAAGAAGTTAGCAGCATCGGACACACAGAGATGCAAGGCCAGGGTCTGGGAACGAGTTTGGAGGGTAGAGCATCTGGATCTCAGGTTTTGGCAGCCGGAAGGCTGGGGGCCTGGGCAGTCTGGGGAAGGGGCTGTGGGCTGCCAGGGCTTGGTCCAGGACGAAGGCCGGTTCTGGGTGCGGGGCTGTATGTGGCGACCGGGGCCAGGTGGCTGGGCGGCGCTCACCAGCAGCAGACGGCCACTCAGCGGGGGCGCCGGGTCGGCCTCGGGGCCGATCCTGACGCCCTCCAGGACCAGAGAGTCCTGCCGCGGCAGCCTCACGTCCACCCGCACGGCGCGGGCCCCTCCACGCCCCGCACCAGTCGCGGGCTCGCCGCCGTCCGCCGCGGCCCCGGGCCCTGCCAGGCCAAGCCAGAGCGGCAGCAGGGGCAACAGCAGCAACAGCGGCGACGGCGGCGGAGGAGGAGGTGGTAAAGGCGACCTCAGCGCAGGGCGGGCGGTGGGGCCCATGGTCGGACCCAGCAAGCAGATAAAACAGGGGCACCGGGGGTTCTGGGCACTGGGGCAGCAGAGGGAGGGACTCCGTGGCCGGACGGGGCGGGGCGCCGGGAGGGGGCGGGGCTGTGGCCGGACGGGGCGGGGCGCAGGGAGAGGGGTGGGCTTTCGGCGGCTTGGGCTCCCAGACCAGGCCGCGCGCGCCCCCTCGTGGCTGCGGGGAACTCGGGCCCCGGCGGCCCAGGAAACTACAGCAGAGCGGAGCCCAGGTCACTGTGGCTGAAGCGGGAAATTAGAGAGGAGGTGCTCACAGGCTGTTGGATTGTCAGAAGCCAAGACAGGACGGTGGAGAGCATGAGAGGTAGTTGGAAGGGGCGACTGTGTGGAAGGGATGACAAGGGGGGATCAGAGCTGGAGAAGGGCAGGAACCAGGCATGTCTAGGGGCTTGAAGGCTGCAGTGGCTGGATGGTCCAACAATGCGACCTGGGCCAAATCTTAACCCCCTCTTCCTAGGGTCTGTTTCTCCCCCAGGCGGAACTCCAGGAGGCAGAGAACCAGAGAACTGCATGGGAGGCACACAGGAGAGATGGAGGCAAGCGTCCTAGGGTGGCAGAGAGCCAAAAGCCTGGGTCCTCGGGGAAGTCACTTTCTTGGGCTGTGAAACGGGCACACCATAAGACCATTACTGTCTCTCCCCCAATAAGTAACTTCCTACTGGGATGTCCTAAAACTCGTCCTTTTCTCCAAGGGTTGCAGCTGCTGAGAGCTGGCTCAGTCTGAAAGCCTTTTAAAAACTGCACTGTGAGCAGGGAGAGGTGTATTGAGGGGACTAGATGGCAATGGAAAAGATATAAAAAGATTACATATTTAAAAAGCCTGCACTGTAATAAAAGGGCAAAAGCCAGACGAGCCACAACACTCTTTTCCCTAATATTCTATTATGAAAAATATCAAACATACAGGAAAATTGAAAGACTTTTACAGTGAACACCGGTATAACCACCAACATTGACTGAATCGTCAAGATGCTCCAGAAGAACACAACGGCGAGAATTAGCCCAGAGACAGACAAATGGGGCATCAAACAGAAGCCAAAACCCGTAAACATGAGTATGTCAGAGAAAGCAACTCAGTTGGGGGCCAGGGAGGAGGAAGTATGAAGGACTGTTGGATAAACTGTGCTAAGAAAATGGGTTAACCGTAAAAAAGAAATGCAATTGGACCCCCCTACTGCACATCATCCACAAAATATGAATTCTGTGTGGACTAAAGACCTAAAAATGAAAAGTCATACTTTAAACATTTTTCAGAAAGAAACATAGACTATTTTGATTACTTTAAGATGAGGAGATATTTCTTAATACAGAAAAGCAGATTATAAAGGCAAAGCTTGAAAAAAATATTATCAACAATAAAATGAACAACTCCTGTTAATGAAAACATTGTAACAAAGTGGCAAGGAAAACCACAAGTTGGGAGAAGGTATTTGCAACCAAATGATTCATAGGCAGAATATATACCTGATATGGGTCACAAGATGCAAATAGGCATTTGACAAAAGAGGAAACAAAAATGGTTAATGCATATGAAAAGATGCTCAGCCTAGTCAGGGAAATACAAATTAAAGTCACTGGCCCCACTGAAGAACCATGTCTGGCTCGCTCCATCCCAGCCCCTGTCTCTGGCAAAAATGTAAGAGTCTGACAATGTCAAGTGTTGCTAGGGATGTGGAGCAACGGACTCCATGCACCGCTGATGGGCATAGGGCCTGGTCGTATAGCCAGGCTGGAAACTATTTTACATCAGATAAAACCACATGCACATTCTCAGGAATTCCACTCTTGGGAGCATGCTCTAGGACAGTGGTTCTCAGCACAGACTGACAATAGAGTCAATTGAGGATTTGCTACAAAATATTGATGCCCGACCTCTACTCTAAATCACTGAATTGTTATCTCTGGAGGTGGGAACTTCTTACTGGAAATGATTAAAACAAACAAACAAAAACCTCGCAGGCCAGGTGACTGCAATGTGCAGTCCTGGCTGGGAATCGTTTCTTGGGTATGTGCAGAACAGCCCTGTTTAAATAGTAAAAACTGGAAGCAGCCCAATTCACCATCACTAGAAGAGATAAGCTATGGTAACTTCATGCATAGAATACCATGAAATAGGAAAAAAAATGAATGAATTAGTCATGTGTATAACCATGGACATTTATTTATTTTTTAAAGATTTTATTTATTTATTTTTTAGAGAGGGAAGGGAGGGAGAAAGAGAGAGAGAGAGAGAGAGAGAGAGAGAGAGAGAGAGAGAGAGAGATCAATGTGCGGTTGCTGGGGGCCATGGCCTGCAACCCAGGCATGTGCCCTGACTGGGAATCGAACCTGGGACACTGGTTCATAGCCCACGCTCAATGCACTGAGCTACGCCAGCCAGGGCTACCATGGATATTTATTTATGTTTAAATTTTATTTCCCAATTTCAGTTGACATATGATGTTATGTTAGTTTCAGATGTGCGACATAGTGATTAGAGATTTATCTACCTCACAAAGTGATCACCCTGATAAGTCTAATAACCATATGACACCATACAAAATCATTACAATGTTATCGATTATATTCCCTATGCCGTACCTTATATCCCTGTATTTTTATTTCTATTTATTTTTTCATTGCTTTAAGAGAGAAAGGAAGGGAGAGAGAGAGAGACATCAATGTGAGAGAGAAGGAATGGGGATTATACACACCCAGACTGGAAATCGAATCCGCAACGTAGGTATGGGCCCTGACCAGGAATTGAACACATAACCTTCTGTTACAGGAGGATGCTTCGTCTCACTGAGCACACTTGCCAGGGCCCCATTACCATTTTCATAACTGTGTACTTCTTAATCCCTTTCAACTTTTTTTTTAACTTTGTTTCAAAGTTTTTATTGTGGAAGACAATACATTACACAAAAATGTCAAAATCATATACAAAAATACTTGAGATATAACCTTTTAACTTTTAAAAAAATTTCATTTATTTATTTTCAGAGAGAGAGGAAGGGAAGGAGAAAGAGAAGGAATGAAACATCAGTGTATGGTTGCCTTTCGCGTGTTCCCCACTGGGGGCCTGGCCCGCAACCCAGGCATGTGCCCTGACTGGGAATCGAACTGACAACCCTTTGGTTCACAGGCCTGTGCTCAACCCACTGAGATACACCAGCCAGGGCTCCCTTTCAACTTTTTCACCCATCCTCCCAACTCCCTCCCATATGGCAACCATTAGTTCTCTCTATCTCTGAGTTTGTTTCTATTTTGCTTGTTCATTTATTTCGTTTTCTAAATTCCACATGTAAGTGAAATCATATGGTATTTGTCCTTCTCACCATGGATATTGTAACAATGCTGAGCAAAAAACGCAAGTCTCAAAATAAGACATTCTACTTAAACTCAAAACTATCAGGACTTACAAGAGTATCACACAAAAATCAGTTGTGTTCTATACACCGGCAATAAACTATCCAGAAGGAAATTCAAACAACAATTCTGTTTACAATAGTATCCAAAAGCATAAAAGGCCTGGGACTTTGACACAAAGAGGTAGAAGACGTATGCCCTGAAAACTACAAAACATTGCTGAAATAAACCAAAGACAACCTAAATAAGTGGAAAGAATTGAATTATCTTATCTTAATGAATTGGTAAATTTAACTTTGTTGTTAAGGCAGCAAGACTACCCAAAGCAATCTACAGACTCAGTGCAATCCCTATCAAAATTCTAATGACCCTTTTTAAAGAAATGGAAACACTCATCCTAAAGTTTATGTGGGGTTGCATAGGGCCCCGAAGAGCTCACGATGTAAAGACAAGAACAAACTTGGTGCAGCGGCAGTATCGTAGCCAACGAGGTTATCCAAGGTGTGTCATTGCTGATGGAAACCTATCCCAATACCCCTCCATGATGACTTGAAGTATATAGTCGGCATTGGCAGTTTTTGACAGTGTTACAGAGGCTGAATTTTTTAAAAAGAAGAAGAAGAAAGAAGAACAAAGCAGATTCTCATTGTCCAATTTAAAAACTTACTATGAAGCTACAGCAATCAAAAACAGAGTAGTACTGGCGTAAAGACAGATATTAGATAAATGGAATAGAATGGACAGAAATAAACCCAGATGTCTGTGGCCAGTTGACTTTCAACGAGAGTTGAAAGGGCCAAGGTCAAAAACAGTCTCTTCAACAGTCTCTTTAACAAATGCTGTGACAACTGAATATCCACATGCAAAAGAATAAAGTTGGACTCCTACTTCACACCGTATTAAAAAATGAACTCAAAATTGATGAACAGTGGGAATGCAAAATGGTGGTTCCTCGAAAAATTAAACATAAAATTACCATACGATCCAGCCATTCCACTTCTGTGTGTGCACCCGAAAGAACTGAAAGCAGGGACTTGCACAGATATTTGTACACCGGTGATCAGAGCCTTGTTCACGAGAGCCAAAATGGAAACAACCAGAATGTTCATCAATGGATAAGTGGATACACAAACTTTGGTGTGCCCATAGGATGGGATATTATTCAGCCATAAATAGGGATGAAATGCTGACACATGCTAGGACATGGGTGAACCTTGAAAACATTACACTAGATGAAACAAGCCAGACACAGCTTGTATCGTGTATCCAGAACAGGTACATCTGTAGAGACTGAGAGCAGATTGGCAGCTGGGGAAAGGGGAGTGGGACGTGACTGCTTCATGGATACAGGGTCTTCTCTTAGGGTGATACAAACGCTTGGGACTAGGTAGTGGTGATGGTCACACAACATTATGAAGGTACGAATAGCACTGAAGTTTTTACTTTAAGGGGTTAATTTTGTGTTATGTGAATGTCACTTCAATCAGAAAAAGATGCAGGACTAACTATATGTTTTAGGGATTACATTCACATGTAACAAAATCGTAAAGAAAATCAAGGGAACGAGAACCTCGGAGTTCACTTCACCAAAGTGAGATGTAATTGGGAGGGGCAGCCAAGGGCACGGATGGTATCGGCGACATCCTACTTTTTAAGTTGCACGACCGTTCATTCTATCATTCGTTATTCTTGGTGCAAATTGCTAACTTTCTTTTGTACGCGTGAAATCACTCGTCATGCGTTAGAGGGCCCCTTGGTGTCCACGGAGAGTCTTGCTTCTCCAATTCGGCGGATCTCCCAGCCCATCTGTCAGCCCCAATGACAGGGCTGCAAGGTCGCACCCTGTAATTATCCCGTCTGTTGGCTTCGCCATCTGCTCATGCCTACTCCCACCACTGGTTCCCCACCACCCACCCAGGCAGGGGGTCCTCACTACCCCGCCAACACACACACACACACCAAACAGACACAGATCGTTGCTAACACCGGACCCCACCTAGAAAGCGTTTCTGTTGCCCCACAAGCAGACACATCTGAGCCTTCCATGAGTGGGAGCCGCAGCGCCCTGTGAACGTGGTGAGTAACCAGAGCTATTATCCTGTGGTTACCTCCTACGGAGTAACCCTTGGTTATCCTGGAAGAGACAAGTACAGTCATACCTTGGTACTCATCAGCTTCAGAACTTGTCAGATCCTGTACTTGTCACATTTTGACGAGAAAAAAAAAATGTTTCAACAGTCGGCGCTTGCTCGGGACTCGTCACACTTGCTAGAACTTGTGTGAGTCACGATGTCGCCCTGCAAGAGAAAACGCTTCATTGTTCGGTGCTCATCAGTTTCCACACTCATCACAAGTTCCGAGTTAATGAGGAGTGTTGAGGTCCCGCTGTAGTTGAGAATGTGGTCTCAGTGTGGGAAGGTGTAGCCCAGCCCGGGCCTTCTGCTGTTGCGTGGGGTGGGGGTGGAGGGGGCTGGAGGAGAGGCAGTAAAGTTGGAAGTGGCTGCTGGAGGGAGTCTGAGCTCAGGAACAGAGCAGCAAAGGACCAAAGATTGATGCAGGACGTTGAGTGGCAGGCACAGCCCTGCTCCGGAGCAGAGTGCCTGAGGTGGGGGAGACTGGAGGACCCCAGAGGGAAGGAAGGGATCCCAGCTGGGAGAAGACGTAGGCCACCAGGCTCCCAGGTGGACAGGCAGAATGCTTGTCAGTCAGAGGAGTCGAGCCCCCGGCACCCAGCTTATTTTGCTTCTGGGGCTGGGTGGGGAGCTGGCAGGGGCAAGGCCATCACGTCACTCTCTCACCATGTACCTGTAGGCAAGCCAACTCCTTTCTCTTGGCCTGTGTCCATCTGCAAAATGGGAGTTGGACTAAAAGGTTGGGGGGGTGCGGAGGCTCCTTCCAACAGACACGCTGTAATTCCAGGTGGGGCTGTCGTCCTGCATACGAGGTTGCCTGGCCCTGGGCTGGACTGTGAACTGTATGGAGTCCCCCACTGCCCTCCTCTCTCCTCTCACACTAAAGTTGTAGGGGGACCTAGGAAGAAATGAAGCTGTTAATAAAAGTGTGAGTCATGGGGTATGTTAGCCCAAATGGGAACAAAGTAGGGGTGATGAAATGGTTTAGACTCAGTACCAGGAATGGGGTGTGTGGTAAGGTCAGTGAATTCCCAAGGTGTGAAATGAGTCCTTCAATGTGGTGCCAGGCTGGCATAAACACCAACAAGGTATCCCGTGAGTCCGTGGGTGGCAGCGCTGGCAGGAGACTGAAGGGCAGGGAAATCCATACTCAAAGTAGGAGCCTGCTGCAGTGAGCTTAAACCTTGGCTCCCTCTGCGATGCAAGGGGCCAATGTAGTGAAGTGGCCACCAGGGGGCACGCTAGTCCTCAGGGAAGAGGGCCACATTGGAGCCCAGGGTCGGCTTCTGCTGTTTTTACCAAGGGACTGAAGGGAGGCGATGCCTAGCTCACAGGAAGGAACCGGCCTTGGGAACTTCAGGCCCAGTGAGAGCAAGAGAGGGTTAGGCTGGGGGGCTGGGATCCCTTCGTTGTAGGCATGAGCCCCAGGGCATATAACAAACTGTCTTAAAGAAATCTTCGATTGTCCCTTGGTTGCCTAGCTCAGTCACCACTTCCCTGCAGACACCCAGAGAGGAGCGGAGACTTGCCCAGGACCAGGCAGGACAGGTGCAGAGCAGCGGCGGCGTGACTGTGCTGTGCGGGAGAGGAAGGGCTGCGGAACGGAGGGGTGGTCAGGGGCAGAATGAGTGCGGGTCACACCCACAGATAGATGTTGAGCATCTGCTGGGTTCCAGGGACCGGGCATAGAGCAGTGACCGTGACCAGCAGTGGTTCCTGCCCTTGAGAATCGGTAGTCGACCATGACCGCATCCACAAGCAAGATAATTTTAGACCATGGAAAGTGCCATGTGAAAGAGATAAAATGACATGGAGAGTGACCGGGGCTGGGGGCTGCTTCAGCCCTGGTGCCAGGAGAAGGAAGGCGTCTCTGAGGGGTGGTGTGGAGACCTGACCGGCAAGAGTATCTGGGGGAAGAAACTGGAATTCAAGCAAAAACAGCCGGTACATTTACTGTGCTCCGGGCACTGTTCTAGGTCCTGTGCGGGAATTAGCTCGTGTGACCCCGTCACGACCTTAGGAGGTAGTAAGATGACCACTGCCACTTTGCAGACGGGAGACTGAGGCAGAAGGGGTCAAGCCGCCGTGGCAGGCGAGAGAACCGGGCCCCGGGCCCCGGGCCCCGCAGGGCTGCCGTGGGGTCGGTGGGTGCTGCTCTGTTTCCCAGAGGCACTGGCACGGAGTGGCCGCGGCCAGCTGTAGAATCTGCATTCTGTCTTGACTGCGGGGCGTGGGGTAGGAATGGCAGCCCGCCCTTCCCTAGGGAAGGCTTGTGCCAGCTCGTGTCAGAGCCGGGGCAGATCTCCAGCACCCCTCCTGCCCTCCCCACCCGAACCCTCTGGGGGAGTTATTGTTTTATTTTTTCTTCAATTGCAGTTTACATTCAATAATATTTTGTATGGATTTCAGGTGTACAGCATAGTGGTTACGCCTGACATTTCCAGGACCCACCCAGCACCATACATCAATACTACGATACTACAGACTACATCCCCTAAGCCGTACTTTACATCCCCGTGGCTATTTTGTAACTACCGATCTGTGCTTCTCAATCCCTTCACCTTTTCACCCAGTTCCCCAGTCCCCGGCGTGAGGGGCGGGGGGTTCTGAAGTCCCAGCTCCCTGCCCCCAGCTCTCTCTTCACAGCTAACTGGGCCAGCTCATTGTGAAGGGATTTGACTCCAGGAGACACCTGGAGACGGGTGAGAAAGGGCTTAGGGATTAGACAAGGATCTCTGGGAAGGTAAGGCACTTAATTAGGGGGCTTTGGGCGTGGGAAGTGGGGCAGGGAGAGGATTGGTGTCTCCACAAAGCCGGGTGGACTGCGGAAGTGAGGAGGAACTGGGCTCCTGGGGAGGAGCCAGAGAGGGCTCAGTTTCCCACCTTCTGTTGTGTCTTCAGAAATAACACATAATAGTATTAAGAGTCCCTCACATTTGTGCACCCATCACTTTTCCAGCCTTTATTTCACTTGGAATTCTCACGATGGCCTTGGGAAAGAGACAAGGATTACATTTCTCCCCAGATTACTGGTACCCAGAGAAGGCAGACGACTGCTACCCGAAGGAGCTGAAGGAGTTGGGGCCTGGGACTGGGACGGTTTTCTCTGCGCTCTCACAACATTAGCGCAGGGCAGGCAGGGTGGTGGGGGGGTGCGGGGGGTGGGGCAGCTCTGGGAGAGGCCAGAGCAGGGCCAAGAAGCTGCAGCACACTCCACAGGAAGGCAGGCTGCTGGCTGCTAGGCTGAAGTCACCTAGAGACCAGTGCTCCATCTCATTCTGGGCCTGCTCCCCCACCCCAATATTCCAAGTTCCACAAGGGCGTTTTTTTTTAAGGTTTATATTATTCTCATTTAAGAGAGAGGGAGGGGAAAGGAGGATTGATACGAGAGAGAAACACCAGTCAGCTGCCTCCTGAACGCCTCAACCCGGGATCAAGCCCACAACTCAGGCACGCCTCT